ATTCAATTGCCTGAGAACATCATAAAAACGAGAGATTCAGCTGGGTTCCAGGTGAGTCTCTCGAAAGAACCAAATTAGTTTGCAGAGGATTGTATATTCGCTGAAACTATTCCTGTTTCTAGTAATGTAGCGGAAACAAGCATATCGCAGTCCAGAACACAATGTTTCCAAAGAGACGCACTTTCCGACACAGCTGCGAAGCGTTTTCGCTCGGGTTGAGCAGACGCCTTAAGATCACATCACGCAAACCTCCCTCGAGTGTCGCATAAATCAGATTGTCAAACTTTGAACTCACTTGGAAACTGGAAATTCACCCGATGCTGCACGACATTCGGCTTCTTCTTCTAGGAATGCTCGTACTTGATCCTCCGTCACGGTGCGCTTGTCACCCATATCCCGATGACTAGCCAAAACCAGAACAGGAAGGTGCGGAGGAACTCGAGGAAGTTCACGACGTACATAAGTGAACGTCCTGATATAAGGAAAGGAACAATAAGTGAGGGAGAACTGTGCAATAAAGCGTTCCAGGGTTAACAAAAAAAGCCCATGAACTCACCAAGATTTAGTCATGTCCATGACGATAATGACTCCGTGGGTTCCTTTGTAAACATCAAGGAAGGATGCATCCAGACAGGGTTCTGTTTTTTGCTACAGGAAACGAGAGGAAGTGAGAAGTGTTCAAAAGGCTTGCCATGGTAATCAAACCAGCGACGAGTGCGCTCAGAAGGAAAACTGCACCAGTACAAGACAGGGCCGACATGACTCGATGGTGATACAAAACTGTAGATAAATGATAATATTAATGGTTTAGTTGTGACACCTTTTCGGTGCCTAGCTGCCATGCCACCGGAAAGAGGCACAAGAGCTGCGATACTGCCAGGTTGTCCAAGCCTAGACAGCCGAGATGCTGAGGTTAGACCCAAACCATGGACCTTCAAGTCAGTAAGTTCACGTCTTAACCACTAAGCTATCTCGAACTCTAAACCGTAAGATAGATGGACATATTTCTGGAAGTTTTGCTCAGTGTGATTTGGAGGAGGGGGCAGTGTCCGCTGGAACAACGAGCCACAAGCAGGAATTCGGCCTCCAGCTCAGCATGTAACCACGGATATAGTGACTGCGTCAAATTCCAGCGTTCGACCAATGTTGAGCGAGTTGAGTATGTCGTGGGGGAAATTGTACCTACCCACTGAAGAATGAACGCATGTTGCGATGCCCGGGTTAATTTCACCTCTTACTTACTGAGTGACAAAATACATGAGAAATGCACTAACCACCAAGCAAATGGTCAACGTGCTGGAGTAGCAACCTGGGACCGTCACAAATAGGAGACAAAGACGAGTCACACCAAGGTCATAAATCTAGTGAATAAATGAACTTTGTACTGATGCCCATAGAACTGTGCTCGCCAAAGATGGCCGGTTGTGATAGGATAAGAGAGCCCAGAGAGTTAGAAAGTTGGGAAAGTATGCCATCATGGGGGGGGGCGGAAGTTACTCCAAAAAAGCGGATCAAGGGTTTGGAAAGGATACCTTCAAATTGAAATACAATGGTGAATATAGTGGGGAAACCCAGTGTTCCACATCGTTCTCCTCCGAGCTCATATTGCCAACCGTTTTTCATGAATGACCCCTTGCTGCAGCTAGCCTTGCCAAAGTTGCCGGTCTCGGGGAACGGACCATCGCTTGGCAAGGTGGAATGAAAGCGGCTCCCATCGAAATGAGTGTTGTGTGATCTTCATGTCTTCAAGTCTTTGAGGTCCGCGTGATCATCATCATCATCATCATCATCGACAGCATGACATCAGTGTTCAACACTGATGCTTCACTGCCGTACAACTAGGATTTATCTGAAAGCCTTATTGTAAAGAAAAAAGTAAAAGTGGACGGGGAAGGGACCTAGTGCTAGCTCATTCCGAGGTGCCTACACCTCCAGACATTCACTCAGGCAATCTGGATAGAAACTGACAACAAGAACGCCACTGACATCGGTTGGCAGCCATATCTTGTGATACTCGTGATACTTTTTACACGTGGTTAGAAACTCTACAGGAAATGACATGTAACTGGTCTCGGTGCTGAGCACGTTTTGACTTCCTAATCGGAATGCTTGGCTAAAGTTTGTCTGTTATTCTGCGGTAGGCTCATGTAGAATGAGGCTCACAATGGACCTGGAGCTAATTTCACTTGTTTTAATATGATGTTCAGATGCGTTTATCTCCTTGTTGTTGTTGTTGTTGTTGGGTTCCATGGGGACACCACGCTGTTTGTTCGCGCGCGCAACCCTTGCTTTCCACACTTTTCCAGTGGTTGTATGGCAGTTAAGCACCGGCATTTACTAATGATGTGTTTCTGTCGGTGATCACGACCCACTTCCAAATACAAGCACATGGGAATTGATGTTCTTTCTCGCAGCTTCCCGAATTCATCAAGCTCAACACTAAGATGAGCAAGCACTGGACTCACCGAGTACAATCAAGGCAGACACGCTCACAGAAATGTGTCTACCAAACATTCAGTGAGCAACTTGAAGAAGAAATCGGTTTAGACCCAGTTCCGGGACAATTTCGTGCTGCACTAGTGGCGTACAACACAACAGTCATAGCGTCGTGCACAGTACACAAAAAGGTTATCAGCATTCTGTCAGAAAAACCAACACACAACAGTTTGGGCGGGGGTTGTTGCCTAACGCATTCGTGTATATTTGTTGTCGGCATTCGATCGATTTCCTTTCTTTGTACACTTCTTACAAAGGAGAATGTATTCACGACAACCAGGGAGTTTTTCCGTTAGTATGATCTAAAGATTGCAAGATTTGCACACCTAGATGATGATGAAGAGATAACTGTTCAGCTGTAACACCCCAAACTGCCATGCCGCCAGAAGGAAGCATGAGGCCATGCCGCAGGAAGCATGAGGGCTGGGATACTGCCAGGTTGCCCAAGCCTAGACAGAGGAAGTCGAGAGGTGGAAGTCGGGTTCGAACGAACCACCGTCCGCCTGGTAAATTCACGCTCAAACAGACGTGTATCGTATCCATATGCCTACATACGACTACATTTGATATTGTGCGACCACAGTCTACCCTCTTAGAGGCAGCCCACCAGAGAGACTTCACACTCAGATAAACATCGCACATTCAGGTTTCTCAGGCTGTAGTTCACAGTCTAATCGCATTCACCTTCGCTCAGTTTAGCTTCCCGCGAGGGTGCTGGAATAAATAGCGGATTTCGAGAAATACACT